CCCCAAAACCCCAAAACCCCAAAACCCCAAAACCCCGATTCTCATTTCAGAGTGAAAAAAGTAAATTGGTAGAAACTAAAACAAAGTATAAATTTTCATTATTTCTAATCCTAATCTTTTGATTATTTATCATCTACCTCTTTGATATCGAATTGTTTTAGCAATGGTTGTACGTCTATTTTATATTTGCTCTAAATATTTACCAGCATTTAAAAGTCATTAAATTCACCTTGTTCTATGAATTTCTCCTGCTCAACTCTATTGAGAATTTGCTTGATTAGGTTTGGATTTTCTGTGTTAAGCCTAGTCATAAAGAATAGTAGATTCTCGCACATCTTTCCTCCAAGATTTTGCAACTATCTAGAAAAGAATTCCTCAATTTTAGTTAGGAATTATTTGCCCCCGACACTTCTTATTCCAAATGAGGCTAATGCTCTTAAGAAGTCATTAAAGTAAACTTTTGAGTTGATTTTACCTTCAAATTTATTATAATTTTCTAGAGCTTCAAGAAGTTCCTTACTCAAAACATCAGTCCAGAATGTATCTGGGACAAATCTAGCTGCTTAGGGGCTTGCTAAAAACATGGACAATTGAGATAGCTGATACAAATCGAATTCACTAATGTGCCTTACGCTATTTAAGTATAAAGTGTAGTAGAGATCAGTATTTATAACTTATGGGATGATTCTTCCACCCCCTAGAGCCATGCAAATATAAAATGTATCCTTTACCTCAGCTTTATCGATTTTACTAAGGATTGAGTCTAGTATATCCTTCCACACTTAATCTTAAACTCTTTTATTATTCATTGCTAAGGACAGCAAAATTTTTGCTAATTAAGAAATGGTCAAGGAATCTTTGGATTTTATGATTTATTGCTCAAGCATCTCCCAAAAATCTTTATCGCCGTATTAGAATTTACAGAAGTAATAAGATGCATTAGTAAGTGATTCCATATTTAGTATGCTAAGGTTAGATTTAATGAGCTTTTCAAGTTAAGCTAATGTCAGTTCAAACTGTTAAATCAAGGGATCTTCCATTTCTTGAATAGGAAATGCATCGAAGATATCATTTAAGATCAGAATCAAATCACTATAGAGTGATTGAGAATTTCTTTTAACAGTTAAAATGCTTTCCCTTAGTTCAGCTATAGCTTATGCAAGTTCCACTTATTTCATTCCCTCAAGGTTTGAATAGATAAGACTTGAGAACTCTCCTAATTTTTCAATATAAGCATCTCTATCAGCTTCTTTAGCTTCAGCTAATTGCTTAAAATACTCCAAGAAATACTAACTCTGATATACTGCTACTGAAAAGTAAAATGTAGTACCACAGAGAAATAATTATTACACCCATTAAGTTTTATCTTTGAACATTCAAAAGTATATATCTACTTCCAAGGCTATTAAATCTCTGTTATTTTGTCAATACTTATTTGTATTGGAAATGGAATGACCTTTAAGAAATTGATAAAAAATTCTTGAATATGTTTATGCGATTTAATTTATTCATTTATTGATTATCTATAACAATTATTACAAATTATTCTTATTAAATGGGGTTTTGGGGTTTTGGGGTTTTGGGGAGATCGGAAGAGCACACGTCTG